CAAAGTAACATTGCTTGTCCCCACCCCCCTGTGCATGCGTTCCAGCGGCAAGTTTGACGCCTACAGCTTGGCATCCGCCGTTCGTGGTCTGGGCGATCCAAGACCACATTTTCGGCATACAGTTGTGTAGTATAAACATATGGCAAGGTCACTTTGGCGCACACAAAACTGGACCAGGCCAGCGTTTGCGTTTCTTCTCTCAGCCCAAATGGGCCCACCTCTGAGTTTGGAAGAGCTTGAGCAAATTGGAAATGGAGGTTCCTAGTGGGCAAGCTTTGTGCAAATTTCATCTTTCTCGATACTGCCTGGACACAGCAAGTTTACAGGGAGTGAATAACTACTTGCAACGCAAAGAATGCAGGCAAGGTGCAAGCTCCTACGTCAGCAGTTCGACAGGAATCCCTACCCTCCGCCTTTCAGGTGATGGTAAGCAGGGTTTGAATACAAGCTTTTCAGGGTGAAAGTAAATGGCGCAAAGCCTCGCCCATCTTGGTTGCCCCCTACCCAACTGCAAGCGAGTTGCCTCAAGGCAGCCTGCCTGAGGCTTTGGCACACCTGGTTCGACCGGCCCCTGGGCTTCGCGGGCAAGGCGAGGGGGGATCGAGATAAGGGATCTCGGTGACCATTTGGGGAGACGGTAAAGACAACTAGACACGACAACCATCTTCTGACCCTGTTCGGGATTGGAAGGAACCGCAGAAGACACAATCCAGAAGGGGGTTGCCAGTCATAGACGTCAAAACAAGTTGGAGTGCGGGTGTTCAAGTGGCCTGAGAACGGTTAAAGGGTCCAACTGGGATCAATCACTTTGTTGCTACATTTGGGGCCATGGTATGTACAGTAATGGTCGCGGGCAAAGCCCATTTGTGGACCTCCTTTGGTTTGCCACGAATTCATGGAGTGTTGACGTGTATCCCAACGTGTCCAACCACTTGAGAATCATTTGTCCTGAACTCGCCCCTCCATGTGTCTATTGAAGCATTTGCTTGAGCATGCATCACTTGAACCGCTTTCAAGTATTCCTCCTGTGTCGACGTGAACCCTCACGTGTTGGGGTTCCCTCATTGCATGTTCATGTTACATGTTATTACTAAAGATTGTAGAGACACACCCATCATAATATATATATATACACATTGTTTGCATGAATGATATATAATGTATAATATGCATACACCTGTATTCCCTACTTCGCAATCCCCCAAGGTCTTCCCCACCTAGATAGTTGTAGAGAGCATGCCCCGGCTTGTGTGCATGGGGGGACTCGAGCGATTCTTCTTTGGGTTGGAGGCCCCTGGCACACATAATTTGTTTGGTCACAGGACCTACCAAGAGGTCCAACCGTTCCCTTTCCAGCGTGCTTAGTCAGTTCAATAGATTAAGCCCTTTTGGCAAGACCCTGGACAAATCCAAGAGGAAGGCATTTCTCACGAGAATTTTTGTTTTTCTACGAAAACTGACTCAACACAAGAGATGCCCTAGTGTTGTGACGGCTACATCGCCTTTCACTGCAAGGGAGACATCGGATTGTACGGGAACCTTGGGGGATGCGAACCCCTTCCCGAGGTTGCTCCAACATGCCCAGTTGCCATCCATCTCTCAAAAGTGTCCGCTACTCAGCAGGTGAGTTCGGGTTTTCCCCTGTCCCTGCGCTCTGAAAATCATCGCTTCGGCTCGAGAGCCTCGCGCCAGGTGGTGACGCGGACTGGGGGAAAGCTGGTTGAGAAGCTGGTGAGAGTGACGGACCCTGCTGGGCGGCCCGAGAACAATCCGTCATGTTCTAGATGTTTTGGGGTTGTCTTCTTGGTTGGGTGTTGTGTGTTGTGGAGTGGGGTTCTACCTGGAGTCTCCTTCTGACCCTTAAAAATTGGTCGGTCATTACCCAATTATTTTGGGGTGGACCCATTTTTAAAGGGTCATGGAGACTCCAGGTAGATGTTTTGGGGGTTGTCTTCTTGGTTGGGTGTTGTGTGTTGTGGAGTGGGGTTCTACCTGGAGTCTCCTTCTAACCCTTAAAAAATGCTCGGTCATTACCCAATTATTTTGGGGTGGACCCATTTTTAAAGGGTCATGGAGACTCCAGGTAGATGTTTTGGGGGTTGTCTTCTTGGTTGGGTGTTGTGTGTTGTGGAGTGGGGTTCTACCTGGAGTCTCCTTCTGACCCTTAAAAAATGGTCGGTCATTACCCAATTATTTTAGGGTGGAGCCATTTTCAAAGGGTCATGGAGACTCCAGGTAGATGTTTTGGGGATTGTCTTCTTGGTTGGGTGTTCTGTGTTGTGGAGTGTGGTTTTACCTGGAGTCTCCTTCTGATCCTTAAAAAATGCTTTGGCATTACCCAATTATTTTGGGGTGGACCCATTTTTAAAGGGTCATGGCGACTCCAGGTAGATGTTTTGGGGGTTGTCTTCTTGGTTGGGTGTTATGTGTTGTGGAGTGGGGTTCTACCTGGAGTCTCCTTCTGACCCTTAAAAAATGGTCGGGCATTGCCCAATTATTTTGGGATGGACCCGTTTTTAAAGGGTCATGGAGACTCCATGTAGATGTGTTGGGGGTTGTCTTCTTGGTCGGGTGTTGTGTGTTGTGGAGTGGGGTTCTGCCTGAGAGTCTCTTTCTGACCCTGAAAAAATGGTTGGTCATTGCCCAATTATTTTGGGGTGGACCCATTTTTAAAGGGTCATGGAGACTCCAGGTAGATGTTTTGGGGGTTGTCTTCTTGGTTGGGTGTTGTGTGTTGTGGAGTGGGGTTCTACCTGGAGTCTCCTTCTGACCCTTAAAAAATGGTTGGTCATTGCCCAATCATTGTGGGGTGGAGCCATTTTTAAAGGGTCATGGAGACTCCAGGTAGATGTTTTGGGGTTGTCTTCTTGGCTGGGTGTTATGTGTTGTGGAGTGGGGTTCTACCTGGAGTCTCCTTCTGACCCTTAAAAAATGGTCGGTCATTACATTGGGTCGAGCCATTTTTAAAGGGTCATGAAGACTCCAGGTAGATGTTTTGGGGGTTGTCTTCTTGGTTGGGTGTTGTGTGTTGTGGAGTGTGGTTTTACCTGGAGTCTCCTTCTGACCCTGAAAAAAAGGTTGGGCATTACCCGATTGTTTTGGGGTGGAGCCATTTTTAAAGGGTCATGGCGACTCCAGGTAGATGTTTTGGGGGTTGTCTTCTTGGTCGGGTGTTATGTGTTGTGGAGTGGGGTTCTACCTGGAGTCTCCTTCTGACCCTTAAAAAATGCTCTGGCATTACCCAATTATTTTGGGGTGGACCCATTTTTAAAGGGTCATGGAGACTCCAGGTAGATGTTTTGGGCGTTGTCTTCTTGGTTGGGTGTTATGTGTTGTGGAGTGGGGTTCTACCTGAGAGTCTCTTTCTGACCCTTAAAAAATGGTCGGTCATTACCCAATAATTTTGGGGTGGACCCATCTTTAAAGGAGGATGGAAACTCCAGGTAGATGTTTTGGGGGTTGTCTTCTTGGTTGGGTGTTATGTGTTGTGGAGTGGGGTTCTACCTGGAGTCTCCTTCTGACCCTTAAAAAATGGTCGGTCATTGCCCAATAATTTTGGGGTGGAGCCATTTTTAAATGGTCATGGAGACTCCAGGTAGATGTTTTGGGGTTGTCTTCTTGGCTGGGTGTTATGTGTTGTGGAGTGGGGTTCTACCTGGAGTCTCCTTCTGACCCTTAAAAATTGGTTGGTCATTACCCAATCATTTTGGGGTGGAGCCATTTTTAAAGGGTCATGGAGACTCCAGGCAGATGTTTTGGGGGTTGTCTTCATGTGTTGTGGAGTGGGGTTCTACCTGGAGTCTCCTTCTGACCCTTAAAAAATGGTTGGGCATTACCCAATGTTTTTGGGGTGGACCCATTTTTAAAGGGTCATGAGACTCCAGGTAGATGTTTTGGGGGCTGTCTTCTTGGTTGGGTGTTATGTGTTGTGGAGTGTGTTTCTACCTGGAGTCTCCTTCTGACCGTGGACCCATTTTTAAAGGGTCATGGAGACTCCAGGTAGAAGTTTTGGGGGTTGTCTTCTTGGCTGGGTTTTATGTGTTGTGGAGTGGTTCGGTGTGTGTGTGTGTGCGTGTGTGTGCGTGTGTGTGCGTGTGTGTCTGTGTTTCTGTGTGTCTGTGTGTCTGTGAGTCTGTGTGTGTGTGTAAGTGTGTGTGTGTGTGTCTGTGCGTCTGTGCGTCTGTGCGTCTGTGCGTCTGTGTTTCTGATTCCTTGTTGGGGGGGTTATTCTTTTGGTTGGGTGCGTGACTTCGTTTAAGGTGTTGGTTGTGAACGCTGTGTGGTGGGTTTGTCTGGGATCTCTGCTCCATGATCATTCTTTTGCAGGGGCCCAATTTCGAAATCATCGGAGTAGCACCCACCAGCTGAATTTAAGGGGCCTCTAAGACTCTAGCCTCTAGGCAGCTTTCAAAAGTACCTGCTGGGTCCGTGGGTCTTGCATGGTCTGGCATATCTTACCTTCATAAACAGGTTTGTGAGGGAAATGTGAGTGGATCTTGCTTCACCGTAGTGGAAATCTCGTGTAGGCAATCAGTGTGTGCAGTCCATCTGCACAGAGACGTGATGTTGCCAGAAGATTTTGTTGCCATTCCTTGGCTCTTGGCTAAGCTTCTCTCAGCCTGCTTTGTCATGAAAGCGTCGAATTGTTTGTGTGGAAGCGCATGCCCGATGAGCGGCAGATCTTCGAGCGAAACACCCGGGTAAGTTGAGGGCATGCTTCCAACCATGTCTGCTGCCTTTGCAAACTCCTACGTTTAAGAAAGCATGGTGTCTATGATTACATCGTTTTTGGAATATAGGGGTCCAACAGACTACGCATGATAGTACAATCATCATAACTGAATGTTGCTTCAAAGCACCCTCAACTCCAGTTTATGTTGTTTAGCCCTTTACTTTAAACTCCTTACTCAGTGGGTCACGTGACTCAGGTTATGATCATCCCCAACCTCGCCATTCACTTGCAGAACGCGGACGAGCGCAAGGTTGCTACCCCTTCCTGAAGCATGGGGGCAGTGGTGGCTGGTGAACGCCAGCAGGGGCTTCGCCGCTATGCACAGCATTTTTTCTGCTTTGACTCACCAGAAACTGGCAAGAAACCATCATGTGTCGAGGAAGGCAATCTTGTTTCCGGCTGGACACTTGGAACCGAGATGTGTAGATTGTGGATGTGTCAATGGTTTTGCCCAGGGAACCCCTCCGTCATAATTTGGATTTGTTCATGATGGAAACGATTGCGTCGTGCCCGCCGCGGCGCAGAGTACAGTTTCGACAAGCTGCATTTTTGTTCGTTCACAGGATTCAAAGGGAGGGTAACCATTTGGCAAACCCAATAATGTCAAGGCATGCCAAGCAGTGCTGGCTTGGCTCATTGCGTGGGGTGGGTGCACAAGGACCATGTCATGAGAGGACGACAATTGACCATGAACGCGGCCTACTGTTATTGACGGTGAGGCCCAACCGGTCCATAGCAACAGCCACGGAAAACGGAAACGGGGAGCAAGATGCCTGATACGATTTGTGTAGTCCAGGCTCCAGTGTCGACTCCTCAAAATGAATCTCAATATCTTTGAGACTTCTGAGGAGTGCTTTCTTGGTTGACATGTCCAAGCCCATCCTGACGTTAGCTTTAATTACTTCAGATTCTGTGAGTTTTTCTCATCGCTAGCAACACCGGAGGACTCGCTCGCATCCCTCGCTCCATGCCCACTTTTGGCTTAAGCCGGTCGTGCCACACCCCCGTTCCCGGCCCCACCGAACTTCTGAGCTTAGAGGCCGGTGTCCCCATTCTGGCTCGTTCATGTAAATCCATGGTTTGCGCGGGGTGTTTGAAACCTGGGTCACATCAGGGCTCAAGTACTCCTAAGTACTCCTGACACCGGCGGTCGGTTTCAGGCCCCAGACGGCGCCTGCATCTAGGCGAAAGGCGCCTGCGCCTATCCCTTTTGATTCAGCGCCATGGGACAAGCGGGGGCCGCAACGAGAGAGCGACAGGCAGAGAGAGAGAGAGAGAGGAGAGCAAGTTCAGGCTTCAACTTGCTGATTTGATGATCAGGTATAGATGTTTCATAGAGCATGACTAGTGTGTGGGGGTGTGGCACTTTAGGGGAAGGGAAACAGCGAAAAAGGTGAGGCATATGATGGAACTAATAGATGTGGGTAGTGTTTGTTCAACAAGGATTTTGGATTGCAACACTCCATGTTGAACAGCCCAGGTTATGCAACTGGCCTGTGACTTTTGTCAAGAGCACAGGACAGCACATCTGCAGGATTCCAGGGCAAACATGAAGCTGGGACATGTTTGTATGAGCGACGCCATCCTGTGAATGATTTGTTTGGCCCAACAAAAGGAGGCATGACTCTTGGGCGTTGAGATTGACGATGCAAGGTGAACTGTACTCCAACAATACGTCAATGTATCAAGGTCAGTGGCATGACATTAAGATGCCAACTTGACCGAAGCTCGTACCCTTGTAGGAAAATACCCGTGGTGGGCCAGGAATCCCTCCGGGTGGTTGTACGGTTTCGCGCCAGCTTCTTTTGTTTTGCTTCCCTTGGATACTTCAAATTGAGGTCTTCACACACTCGTGGCGTGCATTTAACACCCAGTGGGATCGGACCGGCTCGAGCCGCTGCGACACAGAAGACATGCCGCAACCATGTGCAGAGTGAGACTGTCCTTTGGGCCTAAGCACTCTTATTTTTGTCATTCCCAAGCGAGAGTGTTTTGCAACTGGTGAAGACGGGGGTATACAGCTGCATCACTTGTCTTAATTACTCGTCGGGGGCTTAAACCAGGGTCAGGTGATTCAGGGTCGGACAGGGAGTTAGCTTAGCTGGCCAGTTGGCGGATCTTTTGTTCTCACCCGGGACCAACGTTTGTTGTCACACCATGTCATGGTTGCTCAAAAGTCAAGCCTCTATTGTGCAAGAGAACAAGATGCAGGACTGAATTGAGCAAGTGCCTGCAAAAGCACTGTGCAAGCCCTTGGCAGAAACATTGTGCTTGCCCACATGGACGGATCCCAATGTGGATCGCAGCTTGTCCGCACTTGTCTCAAGCTGCGCTTCGCGGCATTCGCGGCGTTGCCGGTTTCCTCCTCTAACATCCCTGAGCACTGAGCGTCAAAGTCTCGGGGGGCATCTGTCGTAGGAATCGCGGACGAGTTTACCTGAAGGTATGGAGCCAAATGTACGGGCGGGGAAATCATCGTGGGGTCGATTGAGCCGAGAGCGTGTAAAGACTGAGGACATCGGGGTATATTTTACAAGGAAGCCAACATGCATTAGAGGGATCAACTGGTGTTAATACATTCTCGGGGTGAATATGTTCGGTGTTCTTCTGCAAGGCCGTGGAGCCAGGCCCTATTGCCAAAGGTAGTGGCGTGTAGGTATGCGTGTGTGTGTGTGTGGGTGCCGGGGTGGGGGCGGGGGTGGGAGTTTGTGCGTCAGGCCGGAGAAGGGAGTTCGCTTGGCGCAGCAACAGGTGGACTATATGTTTAGCGCGTTCCATCTCGAGCCAGACTCCCTTGAAAGAGCATGCCGAGATAGAGTGAACCTTCGACATGTGGCCACTATCAAAGGAGTTGCTTCAGCCCCATCGATGTGCTTCTCTTGGTTTCTTCCGGTCCGCGTGAGACGACACGCAATTGTGCAAGAACCGCAACACAGAGCAGACTTGGCAGGGCCCCGTTTGCAGTTTGTCCACGGTTATACTTGATTGTGTGTACTGTTTACCTTTTTAATGGTTTGCATTGTTTCCACTTGGGATATGTTTCATGACGCGAGCTTGAAGGTCCTCCTCCTCAACCTCCTCCAGCAGGTCTAGCAGCTGCCAAAGTAGCAGCAGTGAGGAACTGGCGGCAGATAGGACCGCATCAACACCTGCGCCCTGGACGAACTTTGGATCTGGTTCACTCAATATCGGAATCACACGTGTTAGTTGTTGGGGGGCAACAGTGCAACAGATCCAGGTTCGATGTTGGAGTTTCCTTTGGCAGGCATCATTCAGGACACGTTGCGGTCCTGAAGGAATGCGTGAGGTGTTTCCAAAATTGACAATCTCAAAGATGATTTCGCGAGTGCCATGGACTAGCTTGGGTTATCAAAGCGAGATTACGAAGTTTTGGTCATAGCAGCCCGCCATAGCCACTCACAAGAGTGAGGTTTACGACCTCAGCTATGACGAAGGTTCCTTTTCTTGCAGGTCCCTTAGTTTGGTGAATTCAAGATGAATCAGGGTTATATAATTGCCCCCATTTTGATGCGGCAAACGCCAAGCACCAGTCCTCCGAATTTCTCCGAAACGCAAAGTCCGTTTGAACCATGGTTTAGAGCATCATATACGTCACATCCCTACACCGACCCACTTGAGCGCCTACAAACCTTGGTCATGAAGAGAGATGGAAATTGCAACCTGCTAGTCGCCAAAAACCCTCAGGAACGAGGGCGTCGACAAGAAGAAACGATACCTTTGGAGCTGCCAAAGTTCGCTGCCAAAGTGTACTTTGTATTCTACACTTGTTCTGAAAAGTTGCGACTTTCGAGCCAGAGCTGCCAAAGTGCAAGCTTTGCTACGCTTTTTCTGAAACGTTGCCATTTCCAAGATGGAGCTGCCGCAGCATACTTGCTGCACTGCGCTTGTATTGAAACTGACACAAACTGTGGCGAGGTCCACGGAAAAAAGGTATTCCTGTATTGGAGTGTCCTTTCGGCGATGTACAAGTTCTGGCGCTTGCTCAGTTTGTCTTTGCTGCCCGCCCTGCAGGCGCGGCCGTTTGAAGCGCTGCCGCCCGATCTAGGCGCGAAGGTGTGCCAAGGTCCTGAAACAAGGGACTCTTCAAGGGACCCCTCAAGAAGCGTGGTTTGCTTTACCCCTGTTCAAACGGGGTTTACCCCTGTAGAAACGGGGGGTCGTTCCTGGGTACGCCTGAAGGATTGAGCTCCAAGAGCGGCGTGCCGATGTGGGCAACACCCTCACGATGCTTGGGTGCCGTGGGCCAAAACAAATCTGGATAGACGTCTCAGCGGGAAACACCCTCCCAAATGGTTGGTGGACATAAACCCCCACTTAAATATTTTGACGTAAACGCTCTTGGTTTTCTTGGCGGATCCCCTGCCCGTGTCCCGGCAGCGCTGCTCCGGAGCACCTCTGCGCCCAACCCGAGCCCGTGCGCTGAGCTTGCCAGCCCCTCTTCCGCAGCCGCGGCCGCCCGCCATTATGCTCGGGCGCGAGGCGCGGGCGAGCGGCGACGTGAGCTGCGAGCAATGGTCTTGGGGCATGTGTCAACATTGGGGCTCTGACAAGTGTTGGTTTTTCTTCTGGTTCTCCTCTAAACTCACCCCCCAAAAAAAAATCCCGCAAATCGCTCGCGCACACGCAGACACACAGACAACACGCACAGGCGGACTGACACCCGCCAGACGGACACACTGCTACAGCGCCACGCTGACACACGCTGACGGTGACACGCTTGCGCTTTGACAAGCTGACACTGCCGACACGCTGACACACAGACGCGGTGACACCGACATGTTGATAGACTGCTATACTGATATACCTGGACACACTGGCACACTGACACCCCCGTCAACCCAGACACACAACGCACGTCCAGACGCCCGCCCGCCCGCACCAACATACGCAAACCCGCAATCACTAGCACGCATGTCATTCATACAACACACAGCACACAACACAAACACACACACACACACACACACACACACACACACACACACACACACACACACACACACACACACACACACACACACACACACACACACACACACACACACACACACACACACACACACACACACACACACACACACACACACACACACACACACACACACACACACACACACACACACACACACACACACACACACACACACACACACACACACACACACACACACACACACACACACACACACACACACACACACACACACACACACACACACACACACACACACACACACACACACACAC